GTCGAGGATGAGGCCCTCACAGGGCCCAGGTTATCGTACCTGCGGCCACTTGTCGAGGATGAGGCCCTCACAGGGCCCAGGTTATCGTACCTGCGGCCACTTGTCGAGGATGAAGTCGATGACGTCCTCCTTGATGTCGCCCTGCAGGACGATCTCGTCCGGCCCCGTCACCGAGCAGCCGCACGCAAACTTCTGCCCCAGCGTCTTGCTGCACGCCTTCAGGTCCAGGTCTGGGGGAGGTCATGGCTTTAATACGCAACAATTAAGTACCTATGTCAATTACAGCAACAATTAAATAGGTACCTATATCAATTACATTACAGCAACAATTAAATAGGTACCTATATCATTTACAATTAAAAAATTGCAGTTTCATTGAATAGATTTTCGTCCGACTGCATATTTTTAACATTAATCTTGCTGTATGCCTTCAGGTCCAGGCTTGAGGGAGGAAGAAGTGTATTTAGAAAACAACACTGAAACATAGTGATTAACATAAAAATAAATTAAACTTCGTGCATTATTATAGGAGCGCAGCCGTGTACCACCAAATTTGTGCACCAATCAGCCCTGAACAGAACGCCTAGCATATTTCTGTAAGGCCACCAATCAGCCGCGTATTAATCCTGCTGTCAGTAACCCGCCCATGACATCATCTTGCTCTAACTGTCAAGAGCTTTACGCCACCACATTCTGAAGCGAATAGCCCAGAGAATAATGGTTGTCCACCACTGAAGGTTGCATCGAATCATCATTTCATACCCTGACTTTAGCTCGAACTGTAACTTGCGGACAACGGACTACGACCAACCAGCCCAGCTCGCCTGTGGAACTGCATGCATCCTGCCGTGCACCACCAGACCGTCACTTTTAGCTCACAACATCCAGGGTTAGGTTTCAGATAGCATAGTTTCAGATAGCATTTAGCTCACAGCATCTGGGGTTAGGTTTCAGAAAGCATAGTTCTGTTCCTAAATATATCGTCCGCCAACGAACTACTTCCGCAACTTCGTTAAATTACGTAACTTTTAGCTCACAACATCCAGGGTTAGGTTTCAGAAAGCATAGTTCTGTTCCTAAATATATCGTCCGCCAACGAACTACTTCCGCAACTTCGTTAAATTACGTAACTTTTAGCTCCCAACATCCAGGGTTAGGTTTCAGAAAGCATAGTTCTGTTCCTAAATATATCGTCCATCGCCGGGCCGCCGTTCGCCCGTGGGCTGATTCGATGCAAAGGATGAATACGGACGGGCTGGTGGCGGTCCACAAATTTACTGCAAGGCTCCGGCGCGCGGTGTCCGAGTCGCGCAGAATTTTTTCGCGCACCGACAGACGATTCTGGGTTTCCTATTGCAGGCTGTTCTTCTGTGGGCTGATTGAGCTACTTTAATGTATGTGATCTGTCTGGTGGCTTGCGGCTGATAATGTTACAGTCAAGTATTTTACGTTCCTTACGTTTTTTATTTTACGTTCCTGAGGGAAGAGATCATGATAGTCCATTCGAAACATAGCAGTGGTGATCACCGACAGGCATCACCATTATTACAACATAAATTTTAGTCTAACTTAAAATTTATATTATTAATCTTGGTGATGCTCACTAATTCAGATGTGGGGGGAGGATGGAGGGACTACATTAATAATATTAATCATATTAATAGAGCATATCTACAGCACGCCGGGAAACTAAGGATGGCAGTTGTAATTCATTAATTAATAAGCAATTAAATAATAATTAGGTTTTGATAAATAAGTGAAAGTAAAAACGGACACCGCATCGAATAACTCACCGAAAGTCTTGAGCCCCATGATGACCGTGGTCTTCTTCTTGCCCCGCGGGGACAAGAACACCACAACCTGCGGGACACAAGCGCGTGAGTGTGGGGAACATCGGGGGAACTGAACCAAAACGCGGGACACAAGCGCGTGAGTGTGGGGAACATCGGGGGAACTGAATCAAAACTCGGGACACAAGCGCGTGAGTGTGGGGAACATCGGGGGAACTGAACCAAAACTCGGGACACAAGCGCGTGAGTGTGGGGAACATCGGGGGAACTGAACCAAAACTCGGGACACGAGGCGTGAGTGTGGGGAACATCGGGGGAACTGAACCATAACGCGGGACACAAGCCCGTGAGTGTGGGGAACATCGGGGGAACTGAACCAAAACGCGGGACACGAGGCGTGAGTGTGGGGAACATCGGGGGAACTGAACCAAAACGAGGGACACGAGGCGTGAGTGTGGGGAACATCGGGGGAACTGTAACAAAAACTTTCAACAGCGACAAAGGTAATAATCGGCTGTACATTTGCGAGGCAATGAAGGGGGCTGAGTCCTGGGGCCATGCTTTCAAAAGTCGCTAAGTGAACGTAAGTACTTACGCTCTATTGTCTTGTCTATGATTAAGTGAACGTAAGTACTTATGCTCTATTTTTTTGTCTATGATTAAGTGAACGTAAGTACTTACGCTCTATTTCCTTATCTATGATTGGTGGATTTTGCTTGAAATGCCATCAATGATGAACTTACGATCTCTTAATTTTTTTTTGAAAGTATAGGCCCTGATCTCTGCGTCAGAGAGAGGCCTGCGCTGCTGGAGGAAATGGCAAACAACAGAGACCCTGAAGCGCATTTGCTGTTGTGAAGCTGAGGTTAAGGCATTACGGGAAAATACGTTATTCTTGCACTCTCGTTACCAGGGACTGAACTCTGCATGAACGAGTCGTACATTGTTGTTACAAGTATACATAGATATATATATATATAAATGCAATAGCGATGGTGCAAAATAAGTACAGGGGGGACGTGCTATGGAGGAAGGGGGGGTTATGCCTGGCACTGTAGGGGGTGGGGATCCCAATCCTGTTCAAGCGAGGTACCTATGTGAAAAATTGGTTAGCTAGTTAAGAGGCAAACAATTATACATTTCAATAGTATAGATTAGATTTAGGTAATTGATGTTAATTTTAATGTAGCATGACAAATTGCAACAGACTTTGTTCATTATCTAAGCGATCACTTCAAGTTCCGACTGCAGCAGCATCGCTGCAACACTGTCACTGCAACACTGTCACTGCAACACTGTCGCTGCAACACTGTCACTGCAACACTGTCGCTGCAACACTGTCACTGCAACACTGTCACTGCAACACTGTCACTGCAACACTGTCACTGCAACACTGTCACTGCAACACTGTCACTGCAGCACTGTCACTGCANCTGGATTACTGTCAATTGTATACTGGATTACTGTCAATTTTATACTGGATTACTGTCAATTGTATACTGGATTACTGTCAATTTTATACTGGATTACTGTCAATTGTATACTGGATTACTGTCAATTGTATACTGGATTACTGTCAATTGTATACTGGATTACTGTCAATTTTATACTGGATTACTGTCAATTTTTTACTGGATTACTGTCAATTGTATGCTGGATTCTGTCAATTGTATGCTGGATTACTGTCAATTGTATACTGGATTACTGTCAAAACTTGGGTAGGGAGGTTATAGTCCATCTGAATTACCCTTTATAGAGACAGGTAATGAGATGCTGGAATAAAAAAATAAGGCTTTTAAAACATGGAAAAGGCATTGCAATAAACGATTTTAAAACATTGTTTAAAAATGGGTATTGAAATAAGGAGATAAGGTGAAATAATGAAAGAGTTGAAGGATAAAGTAGATTGCATGATATGGATGAGTTTAAGATTAATATATACGATTTTATGATTAAATATTAAATATATGATTAAATATGAAATATAATTAATATATCTTAAATATATTTCATAAATCTCATATGAAATATATGATATGTTTAAATATTAAATATGATATGTTTGAATATTAAATATATGATATGATTAAATATATATGATAATATTATTAAATATATTATACCCCTACATAGGACATGAGGGATCACAAGACTTGCCTTCTTAGGCGTGTCATCCTACATAGGACATGAGGGATCACAAGACTTGCCTTCTTAGGCGTGTCATCCTACATAGGACATGAGGGAT